CTACTAAGATTGTTTCGGAGAATAAAACTATTGAAGATAAAACATTTAGGACAGTTTCTATTACAGATACAAATCAGTCGTGGCAGTTAATGGTACTATACTTCCCTTTTTGATCCACAGAATTTAATCAGGTCCTAAGCTATTGTGTTTTTGTTAACTGGTCACTTCTCCATGCAATGTAAGCTCTTTGAGATAAAGAACTGTACCTTTGCTGCAAAGGTTGTGCCTGGTGGAAGGTAAGAGCAAGGGCTAAGGGGCAACATTTCTAGAGCTGAGATCTGCTCTGCTGCTCACCAATGATATGGATATCACCAACTTCCTGAGTCTTACAGAATTGTGCAAGAGTTAAATCTGACTGAAAAGGTAAAGACATAGAAGAGAAACTAAATGTAGGAAATGCTTTATAAATGTTAATCATCATGTTTATAATTTTAGTTTTCACATCTTTACAAATGTTGTAGCACAGTTTTGAGCTCATGATTCACAGTCAACTACTTTTTTATTCAACCTTATTAATAATTGACAGGAAGCTCTGGTGGTCTCGTGGGTAAACAGCTGTGTTACCAATCCAAAGAAAGGTGATTCTAATCTACTAGTTTCTCCAGGAAGAAAAATGGGCACTGTTGTCTTGTATGATTGATAGCCTCTGAAAACTCAATGGAAAGTCAGCTATGAGTCAGCTCTGATTTGGCGGTACATAACAGCAGTAGCAAATCACTCTGTCATAAGCATGAATAATATTTTAAGTAATGGCTTTTTTGGGGAGGTGGGGAAATGACAACACTGCTGGTATGGTGGTTAAATGCTCTGCTACTAATTTAAAAGTAGGCAATTCAAAACCCCTAGCTGCTCCCTGCAAGAAACGTGGTGCACTGTCTCTGTAAAGGTTACACCTTGGAAATTCTGTAGAGCAATTCTGCTCTGTCCAGTGAGTTCATTGTAAGCTGGAATTGATGGAGCAATTGGTTTAATTTTCATTTATGATATAAAAAAATACATTATTCCTTGAAATGTAATAAAAAGTATACAAAACACAAGAACGGTGCAGTAGCTAGAGTTATGAAGCTACTTTTTAAAGTTACTCAAGCACTTCAATAAGTACTTCCTTGATTCTTAAGTGTTTTCTGACATAATTCAGTGGCATTAAAAATACACTGACTAATAAGTCTTTATACAAAGATATTCTTAAATGGAGTAAGCAGAGGTGCTCTAGACTGAAGAGAGAATGGGACTGAGGGCTTAACAAGCATAGTTTCAAAACTCATCCCTTGTAAGATAGCAGGCTTGTGCCTGGAAGATGATATCCTCTCCCCATTCAAATACCAAAAAAAAAAAAATATGGAGAGAAAAAAAAGAAACTAAACAGTATGGAGAGATAGCATACATGTGAGAGCTAAACAAAGATACTGTAGTCCCATTAATTGAGTTTGAAGTGTGGCTTAAACACCAACTTACTCTTAAACCAATCTACACCTCTACTCCCAGGTCTATTTCAAGGAGCCTTGTTTGTGTGCCATTGAGTCAGAACAGACACATACCTAACCATCCAGAGTTTTCTAGACAGTAAGATTGTCCATCCTTCTGAGGAACAGCTGATGGAGTTGAACTGCTTTCCTTTGGAATTGCGGTGAAGCTTCTTACCACTAGGCCACGAGAGCCCCCTTTTCATGGGTGGTTGTTGTTGTTGTGTACCATAGAGTCAGAACCAACGAATAGCTGACCCCCCAGAGGATTATCAGAGGAATTGTACAGGAAGACATTGCCCAGCCTTCTGTTGTGGAGCAGCTGGTGGCCTTGAACCAAGTGCCTTTGGGATTGCAGCACAGTGATAATCCCTTGGCAGGACAAACAGCAAGCTTGGTTGTTAGGCAAAAGGTTGAAAGTTTGAGTCCACTCAGACATGCCTCATAAGAAGGGCCTGGCTATTGACCTCTGAAAAGTCCACCACTGAAAATTCTATAGTACACAGCTCTATTCCTGACAGACACAAGACCACATGAGTTGGAACTGGCTCAACAGCACCTTGATTTTAGCACTGAGTCAGCACACAGTGCATTTGGAGGTATCCCCATGAGAAAGGTGTTACCTTTAAATCACAATGGTCCTATCCCATTGTGCTTAGGGTCATATTGAGTCAGGGCTGACTAAAGCAGCTAGCCACCATAAAAGCTTGGATTTTCAGATTGGCAGACATTTCCAGGCTGCTGCCAAATTTCCTATAGGTCTTAGTAAGGGAGTTTAATAGGCTATTAAACTGTTGTACTGCAAAATCATTTTTTCACCTCAACACTTAAATTAGTTTTAAAGACATTATCTCCTCATCTCCCACCTCCACCTTGAGAGTTTCTTTCCCCTACCTTTTCTCTTTTCACCTCAAATTAGGGAAAACCCAACTTCTGGGAAGGATTTTGCATAGGCTTGCTTCTTCTTCTACTCCTGACTTGGAGGAGGATACAGTATTTCTGATAAATATATATGTATATCTCTTCCACCAAAAGTCTTTTCCTTTTCTTTTTTTTTTTTTTTTAACTAAAACTACCTAGGTCTGGATACTGTCTTCTTGAAGTTCTTGTATGAAAAACACTTTATTTCATTATCACTTTTAGTTGATAATTATGCTCTTTGCTTTTGAGACTTTTGCATTCCTCACTTTACTATATGTAAATATTACTCAATATATTCAGAGTGGTTTCTTTTGCCTTTATATCTTCCTCTGTCTCAGTGAGAGAAATCAGTTTTCATAGGCAACTTCTTTTTTAAAGACTTTATCTTCTTTTGATCTTAACCTGGAGGAGAGGTAGACAAACTCTTCCCTCTGTTTCTTGCCATCATGTCCCTAAATGTAAAGTTAATTATTACCCATCCATTATATCCACATATACACTTCTAATTAACCCATAGTCTTGCATTTTTCTTTAGAACTCACTTTAACTTTCCTAGATGTTTTATCACTTGCGTCCCATTTACCCGCTCCAATTCTCTATAAATTTTAGTTCAAATTTAAGTCTCATTTGCTATTACTGGAAAGAAAGTACAGTGGATGAAAGCATGGACTTTGAAATCATATCATGTGGGTGTGAATCCTGACTGTACCACTTACCATACTAAAGTCAAGAAACATCTTTGAGACTTAGTTTTTCTCATTTGTAAAACTGAGATAACCACACTATCTACATTACAGTTGCTCCCAGCTGCAGTCAAGTTTGCCACCAACTCATGCAGGTCCCTATGTACAATGGACTATTTGAGGTTTTGGTCATTGATTTTCAGAAGTGGATGGTCAAATCTGTCTTTCTAAAATCTAGATTAGAAGGACTGAATGGTTTAAACACTTAAAATAGACACCATGTGCACAGACAGGACTTTAATAGGTGTAAATGTGCTACAGTGGTGTTTCCAGACTAAGAGGCAGTGGGAAGAAATGCCTACAGAAAAATCCAGCGGTGACCATCACATGATCACAAGGTGGAGATGGGGTAATCTGCAGTTTGGGAATCAGCTCACTGGCAGCCAAAAATAATTACAGCTGCGATTAATAATCTTAAAAGTTGATTCTATTTAGTTTCAACTTTTTGGCCAAACTGGCACAAACTTAGTTCTACTTTGAATCAGCTTATTTACCACAGGACAATACTTTAAGATTTCAAATGTGGCAATTCTCTCCTTACATAAAAAGTCTTTTTCGTTAATTTTTCTTATTCCTGAAAATTCTCAAAATTTTTGAGAGCCTTATTTTAAATCAGCAGTTCTCTTCCAATTGACACAAACCTTAGCAACCTAACTTTTGAATCTTTACGTCTGTTTCCTAATGCTCAACTCTTCAATCTTTGATGATGTATATGCACTTCTTAATGCACATATTTAAATCTAACTTACTCTTTAAAAACTAAATAAAGTTGATACCTTTGATAAAATTTCTCCTACACATGCCAAACTATCACTTTCTTCACTCCTTCAAACACATAAAATCACAAACCATATAATTCTCATATAAAATATTATATTCATAAAATATGGAATTATTTTTCTGAGTATTTAGTAAGTCTCTCAAAATCAGAAACTTTTGAAATAAGAAACACAAAAGCTGACATTCAGATAGTTATTTGCTTAGTATTGGTTTTAGTACTCCAGAAGTCACCTTAAAATCCATTTATTTATAAAATACACTTATTACTAAAATTTAAATGTGAAGTGATCTTGAAATGCCAAGATGGTTATCCTGAAATATAATTTTTTAGTTGCTCAGAGTTAAGTGTAAGTATAAAGAATATCTTAAAATATTTTTTATGAATGTTAAAGACTGAAACATACCACATGAATCAATCCCAAATCATTAGATGTATGTGTAATTTAAAAGTTAAAGAAAATATTCCTTTAAATATGATACTATGTTGAAGTCCAAATTTTTCATTTGCTTCAAACTGTTAATAATTTCCTCTTACTTATTTACAGAAGTATACTAGTCAATAAAGAAATAGAAAAAATTTGTTTAATTAACACTAATAAAAAAATCACATAAGATTTACGAAGTAGAGACAAAGTCATGCAGAAAATTGTAACTGCATTCCACAAATATATATACACACACACACACATATGTTTTTATACATATACACATATGTACTTATAAACTCAATTATTTTAATATTTTTCCTTTAATGTTTAAAATGCTTCATAAATAGAAATACCAGAAAGGCAACTAGAGCAAACTTGTTTTTTCCCCCCAATGGAATAAATAATTAGCAAATAGCACTGTTTCTAAGATCATTATGATTTGTATCCAATATTGAAAATTTTAGTAAAATGTATGCAATTTTAATTTTTAACCATAATCAATTTTGAGTAATACAAACACACACATACTGTTGAAACATCATGGGTTTAAAAAAAATTATACAGCAATCCCACTGTTATATAGAAGGGAAAAGAGATAAGTATATATAAAATTATTTCTTTTCATAATTTAACCAACATTGAAGGAGTAGGAAGAAAAAGCCTACCTTCCATTGCTCTTTTAAAGAAGACCTTACAGCTCCCACAGGTAAGGACTCCATAATGGCAGCCTGAGGCTTCATCTCCACAGATTAAACAAATTTTCTGAGGTAATGACTCGAAGCTGTACTGTGGGCTCTGGCTGGCTTCGGAATCCGGCCTTGAAAGGCAAAACAAAGTACTGGATTTATTTTTAGGAATGCCACTATCCAATACTAAAGGTCTCTTAATCTAGGTCTGACCAAGTGAAAGGGAATTTTTTGGTTTTGTTTTAGAACTATGTACATTCCTGGAAGACATGTCAGATGAATTTGGTACATTACCTATAACTGAATCTACCAAACTCTCAAATTATTAGTCATTCATAAGTGATACCCAAAATAAAAGAAGAATAAATAATAACTGTATCATTTCTTTTTTTTTTTTGCTAGGGAAAACTAATGCCCATTGGTTTCGCAAAAAAAACCTCTTTGTATAAAATTCTTTATATAGAAGTAATTTAGTCTTTGACAAATGAAATGTTTTATCCTTCCTACACTCTGAATAATGATAAACATGATCATGCTGTAAGAATTCAAACCAAATCAGCAATGCATTTGTTTTGAGTTTTTAAAACGCAACCTTGTAATGATTGTTTGCTTAAACAAGTGTCTGTGTCATTTTTAATTATTGTTCAATAAACTGGCACTGTTTTGTCTTCCTATTCAAAATATATAAACTCCAAAAGGAGCAATTTTTTTTCTTTTACAGTGCATTACTTAAGAATGTAACTGAAAATATTTTTAAAAACTCTGAAAACATTTTGGAGGGAATCCGAGACAGTATTAGAATACAGTGCATCACAGCGACTGATGTGTAAAGCCATAATGAAAGCATATGATCCTTAAAATTATTTCAATCTTGGAATACGGATGAAAATTGAGCCTTAAATTTCCAACCCCCTATGATGGTTCTGGTTTCACTTCTGGCCTACCACCCTTTATCAAGTCCCACCCCTCGAGGCAAAAACGATGCCTTAATTCCTCCCCAAGACATATTCCTGGTAAAGGTCCTTCTAAGAAATGACGCATTTTCTAAAACTCCCAAGCCTCAATGTCCTTTCTGCTCAGACGGACTTCTAGGGTGACGCAGCATACTTTAATCCAGGGCGGGCCCTGTGTCCAAATCGCGTCGATTTGCAAAGTTTACAAATACTCTAGGGTATACACATTTCCTAAGTTACCCCGTGCCCGAAGGGAGAAGGTGAGAAGGGAGGTGAAGCACCCCAGCGCCCGCCGCCCCGGGGCTGCGCACCCCGTGGGGCCCCTGGACACGCGGGAGCCCGCGCGCGTTGGGGAGGGGTCCGGCGGTCCGCCCGCGACACCTGCGACGCACCACACGCGGGCCTCACCTCAGGTAGTTGAGATACTGCGGGTAGACCTGCGGCAGGCCCTCCTTGAGCACCGCGGCCTGGTAGCCGAGCTGTGGGAGCCCGTTGAGGCCGAGCGGTGGG